TGCTGAACAGCCCTAAATCTCAGCTTATGTTTATTTTGTACCACCATAGTGACCAGTGAGACATCAACAGAATGCATCAGTAAACTCATCCAAGGGGGCCAAGAATGACCATTAGGAACAGGACCAGTTTGACAAGTATAATTTCACATAAACCATCATATACAATCATCAGATGGCAAATACTTTCTGGAGTTAACCATTTGGGCTGGTGTCAAACTGGTGAGCTGGAAGTGAAAAGCTCTCTGTTCTATTACTAATCCCCTGAGCTATAGAGGCCCCAGCTGGTGCTTCTGCAAAGGTTCACACAGCTTTTTTCAAAAGGCCACAAAAATAGTTACAATATCTTCTTAAAGTAAACAAAATCAAAACAAAAAACACCCTTCCACAGTTTCAAGAACAGTTACATTTTTCTTAAAATAATCTCTCTGAAAGTAGCAGACTGTACACATTTTACAAGAATAAACAAACTTATCTAATATTTATCCACAAATTGGGACTCAGAGATCATTAGTGCAAATTTCTGCTGACCAGCAGCATTTATTCTATAAACTTTGGGTATCCTAAGTGGTCCATCAGTGAACAACATATATCTTCAATCTGTCTAATCTCTTCATGGGGCATGTTTTGTTTCCAGGCATGAATGCTACTTGGTGAAATCTCCCCTTCATAGGGAAGATAGAAAAGACTGGTGGAGGTGGCAAATAATATTTGGTTTAAGCTAGCAGGAGGAAGAGGAATACCAAGAAAGGCAAAAATTTTTTCAGCAGTCTTCTGAGGAAAGCTCACAATATCTTCAAACTTGACCAGCTGATAATTTATTGGCAGCAAGTCCCTGTTTATCCTCATCGCTGCTGCTGTGTTTGCTAGCCATAAATAAGACAACACAGAAATAGCATTTGAATTAGAATTTGAAATTTCTTTTCTCAGTGATTCAAACTCAGAGGCATAGCCTTCATTTAAACTACATTTTCCTTTACCATTCTCCCCTTTAAACATCGCAGCCAAGCGTTGTGGAATATTTTTCAAGGAGTAAAGGCTCGGCTTATTTTTGTACAGCATTGAATAGACCCATGCCCGTGGGTCCCTCACTACATATAAAGCTCTCATTGATGGCCCTAAGATTTCCTGAAAGAAGGGAAGCTTTAATGTCCAGCTCCCACTGGTTAAACTAAGCACAGGTCGTGCATTAGGATAATAGACAAGGTGTCTTCTCAGTTCCCTAATATATTCAGCATCTTTTTCTTGACTTCCTCTTGCCCTGCTTCTTTGCTCTAACAGGGATTCTCTCTTTTTGGACCTTTTCTTTTTGTCTTTGCTTAATGCAGAATGCTGAGCAATTTTACTTCTGCTAGTTTCATATAAATGAATGTTTTGTAAATGCAACTTCGTGTCTTGAACTAGAGACTGGAGCCACCCTTGGATAAGACGAAAATTACCATTCGGGACATCGGAAACCTTCCATTCACATGGATCTACAAAGGAATCAATTTCAAATTCAGTCTCAGGAATTTCAAGATAGGGTGTAGGTATCCTGATGTATAAAAAGTCACTGGTGTTGAAAAATAGCTGCTTTAAAATTTCTGCGCCAGAAGTAGGAAGTGAAGTAATGATAACATCTGGCAAAACAACAGGGTTTCCTTCTAATTGTTTGGCTTTATTGCCTTTATCACGTTCTAGCCTTGTCACGTCAGTGCTCCACTTTGCACAGATGGGCTGAGTACACATGCTCCACACATCCACCAATTCAATAAGCCACAGTGTAACAACCAGGATCAGGATCCAACGCAACATTCTGCCAAAGGATATGTAAAACCGCCACTGAAAAGCCAGTATGACCAAACTGACGCCCAAAATTAACCCTGCAATTATGTTCACTTTGAATCCAAATGGAAAAACTACCCTACTATTTTTTATATCTTTTTTCACAGATTCAGTACCAAGACCAAACTTGGTCACTTTATTCCCATGAACTACTTTAGCAAAACCACCAAATCCCAAGTAATCAAACCTTGCCTTTAAATTCTGATACTCAGTCACAACAGAGATGGTATTTTCAGTGTTGTTGACACTGAGCGAAATCTGAAATCCAGATTTTGCATTATCCATGAGTCTACAGTTAGAAACATTGACATATGGGCCATAGAAAAGGTAAACAATCCTTGTAAGCATGTTTTTCATTGGAAAGGTAACATTTACAAACTGAGTCCATCGCTTTTTGAATTCAGCAGCTTGTTCAGCCTCCTGTATCCTAGCAACAGGACTACTCCCACGATGATCAAACCAAAACATCTTGTAGTGGGCATCCCACACATCCATCATAGCTCCATTGTACTTGTTCTTAAACTTATAGGGTATGTATTTAAAATCAATATCAAGATTATGAAAAAAGGCACTGACTGAATCAACAGGAGAGTCTTCCTCCTTCTCGATATGGTCAACCACTAACAATGTCTGAGAGTTTAAGAGCAGCAAAACGCGATACACACTTTTCAGTTTCATTGCTGATGTGTAAGCAGATACTGCCTCACCACTCACAAACATCATGTCACCAGCCTGAGAGGCTGTTATAATTTCTCCAGTTGAGTCTCCAACCTCGTCACCAATCCACTTCAGCCACTGGGCACACTCACCAAGCTGTCCTTCCCAAGGCTGGTTGCACTGGCTTGTAGGAGATGGAGCAAACACCAAGACATTGTTCAGGTGGCTGAGTTTAGGTCCATACAGAGCCTCAGATACAAACACCTGTCCATTGGGAGCAAAAGTGAAGGAGTTCTGATCGGGATGTTCATGTCCCGGATTGAAACTTCTCCACCCATCAATCCATCTGTAGGGTTGAAAGTGAACAATATCATAGACAGCACGCCCACCGAGTTTCCCAGACTTGAAGGATACAAAAGTGTTTGTCTGACTGTTTGGCAATCCAGCCCCGTAAGTAACAACTCCCCAGTTGGGAAACACATGCATTTTAGCAGTACCATAGCCAGGAGGGGGCTGAGGAGTGATTTCAGCAGCATACCATATAAATTCTGTATGTAATGTACTCCACCTCTGTGCAGTGGATGGCACCATTGGCCCATCCTTGGGTCTGTGTTTTCTAATTTGCTGTGCCAGCCAGTTACCAGCTCCATTCTTCATGATGAACTTATCCAAGAAAACCAGTTGGCTCTCAGGACCATAAAACCAGTTGTAATTAGAATCTGCAACACCCACAGTCCTCTGGAAGCCTGGCAGTAGGGTGGCATAGTAAAACCAGAAGTGCATTTTTAGCCAGTTATTCTCCAAGTTGTTAATACCGAAGTGGCGCTGGGCCAGGAAAACATACTGGGTTACTGACTTGGCTGTGTAACTCCCATAAGCAACTCCCTCATCCAGAGACCCATCCACAATATGATTGAGGAGAAACATCGTTTTCTCCATCACATCAACCACAGTGTGTTTCCAAATATTCGCCTGAGATCCTTTGTCCACTCCGGCAACTAAAGCCCCAATAAGCAGAGCAAGCATATTGGTTGCTTGGTGATTATGGAGAAGCTGCTTTCCCCAGGAACGAACCTTGGAGTACTCATACATCTCCTCGCTTACGGACCATATCTTCTCCAGGTATTTTTGCCTTCTCTCATTTTCCAGTGAATTATACAAGAAGTCAAAAGCAGTGGCAAATCCTGTCAGGGAGTGTCCGAGTGGCACTTCATCTCCAGGAGCATTCTCAACCAGCCAGTTTTTGTAGCCAGCCATTCTATCCATATACTCTAGGGCAAAATCAAACGCAGCTTTATCTTCGGGGCACAGCAAACAGTAGAATGCCAGAGGGGGAAGGTTGTTACCATAAATCTCATTCCACTTGGCCGCAAAATCAATGTGCTTGGGTGGAGGTAGGTAGTACAAAGGGTTGGACAGCATAACCATCACTGCACTTCTGATGGCTCGGAAGAGATGCAAATGGCTTGTACGAGCCTTTTGCCTCAGTGCCTGAACATCCTGAGGGTCGAAATACAAGCTTGGATGAAGAACTGTTCTTTTCAGGTTCTGCTCAGCACTAAGACCTTCAAGTTGCTGTTTTTCATATTGATCTACATTTTCTATGAAAGTCACCCAATCAGAGTAATTGCTTACAGATTCTTCAAAAGTGAAGACATCAAACACCATTAATGCTAGAAATAGAGTATGCCCTGTGAACATCAGAGCCATGATCCATTAGGCAGCTCCTCTTCCCCAGACATACATTTCTTCACAAAACAGTGTTCAGATATCAAACTTCCATCCAGTTTGTTAAAAAAATAGTATCTTAAGGCATATTTTTATGAGAAAAGACCTATTTTATATTGTGCATTACAACAAAGGCTCAGACTACTTGTAATCTGAGATACAACATTGAAATGACAAGGCTCTTGAAAAATTAAATCTCAGGTGCCTTGTCTGTTCCCACTTTTCTCAAATACAACACTACAAGCATAAGCACTAAAATCAGGGAAAAAGTAAAATCTCTACGATATGCATTTAAAGCACAGATCGACTGCACAGTAACAGACTGAAACACTATCTCTTGGTAACTTGAAAAGCATGATCTAAAAAGGGAACTGGAGTAATATGTTTGCTTTTTTAAAAAGCTTTCAATCGGACCAAATTCCACTTTTAGAGCTGATGAAAACTCCACTGATCACAAAATGACATAATTTATTCCAAACAATGTGTTATACTTGATAAAATAGGGAATATAGAACACTTGGAAAATAGACTCCAAAATTGAAGTTACTGTCTTCGGTTGTTGCCTTTTTTCAATTTCCTTACACACTCTTTCCATCTTTCTCTTTTGGGATTCATGGAGGGGAAGGAAGGAAAAAAATAATTTAAAAAAATCAACATAGATCCTCCATTAGATCCTTTTGATGAAACTGCAGTGATTTTAACCACTATTCCTCTCTGTTTGTGAAAAATGCACCTGAATTAAGAGTCATATTGACATATCTTCAAGTATTTTTTAATCTTCTCTTCAGCTAGTGATGCCCAAATTTGGCCTCGATGATTCAAAAAATCCTGCTCCTTCCATTATGATGCAAAAGCTAAACACGTGAAAGAGGCAGATAGCCAATACTTTCTTGTAAGAAGAGCAGTTTCAGGTTTCCTTTCACTTCACATGTAGGCTCTTTCTGTGGAAACAGAAACAAAAGTTCTCTGAAGCTGTGCAGATGTCAGAACATATTTAAAGTACTTTGGTTAACAAACTGCTGCTAAGTTTAGGGGAAAGATGAAGGAAATCAAGGAATTTTAAGGAAATCAATAAATAAAAGAAGGAGCATTTCAAAGTTCCACAAAATTTACCCTCGGCAAAAGAGCAATTCAGATTGGCTACTCAAGCTCACTTTATTTCACCATTTCCAGCGCGAACATCAGATCTCAGGCAATAAATTCCAGTTACGCTACCAGGAGCTACTCATGCAAATAAATCTGACGCACGCCACCGAAATTCAATTTATCACGAACTAAAACAAGAGCACACGGGTGTTTTTTACCACGCTAGCGGCTCGGCGTGCGGAAGGGCGGCGGGAAGCAGGAAACGCAGCAGCCGGGATCGCCGAGCGGGAGCCGCGCCGCGCCGCCCGCACCGCGCCCGCCAGAGGGCACCCGCCGCCGCCGCGCCCCTGCCCGCACAACTTGCACAAGTTTCGGCGCGGAGCGCGGCGCCGCCGCCGCCGCCCCCGAGCCCAGCCCCGTCTTACCGCGCCGGCTCCCGCGGGGCTGCGAAGCTCTGTCCCGGCCGGCGCGGCCCGGGGCGCGGGGCCGGCCCCGGCCGGGGGCTGCGGGGGGCGGCCGCAGTGCCGGCCCCGCTCGGCTGGGCCGGGCTGCGCTCGGTTCCGGCCTCTTCCGCTCTTGCCTCTACTTTTCCACCCGGGCTGGCCGCAACTTGTGGTCCCTGCCCTCCGCCGGCGGCTCCCAGGAGTTGATGGAGAGGGAGATGCGGCGGCGAGCGCCCGGCGACGGGCGCGGGCAGCCAGGCAAACTCGCAGGGATGTCGCTCCGGAGGGGCGGGGAGGGAAGGAAGGAGGCAGGCAAGGAGGGTGGGAGGGAGGCGGAGAAGCGGCGGGGGGGTTGGCAGAGCCGCCCCCGGCGGAACGGGGATGTGCCGATGCTCCGCGCCGAGCTCGGCGGCGGGCGGGCTGCCGGTCCCGCCGTGGCTCCCCGCGGCTCTTCCCCGCGGCTGCGTGCGCTGCCCCACTGCTCCCGGCGCCCAGCCCCGCTCTCGGCCGAGGATGGCACCGCGCCTGGGCTGCCGGCGGAGCGGAGCCGGGCTCGGCGGGAGCGCCCGGGGACAGGGCCGGGGCCGGAGCGGGGGGACCGCGGCTGGCGGCGGCCCAGGGCTGGGCTGAGGCGAGAGACCCGGTGCAGCGGGTCCCGGTGCGGGGAGCGGGGAGCTGAGGAGGTACGAGGGGGTTCGTGAAGAAAAGGAAAGCTGCCGCGGTGGGTCACCCCCGCGGACCGGCCCCCGCAGCTCCCGGCCGGGGCACTGTCGCACGCTGCAGCGGCGGCGGCCCGGACACCGGCGAGCTCGGCAGGGCTGGGCTGGGCTGGGAAGAGCAGGGCTGGGCTGGGCTGGGCTGGGCTGGGTGTCAGGAGCCGCCGCTGCTGAGGGTGACAACTTTGTGGGAGCGGAATAACTCCCCAGCAGTGCCCGTGTCTCAGGGACCACGGGGATGCGCACCTTCCGCCTCTGTTTGTGGCCCTGACACTTCTTTATTAACAGCGCTCCTGCGCTGGCTCTTCGTTTTATACGATGCATTAAAATGGTTCTCCTTCAGTTTCAGCTGAAGACTTCTGAAGTAAAATACAAAGGCGTCATTAGGAGTGAAATCCTCTGCTGCTTGATGGTCACGGTCAGTGGTGCACTCAAGGGCCAGCAGAAAATGTTGGCCTGCCCCCCTGGTCCTGTGGTCTGCCCGCAAAATCCAAGATGTGTAGCACCATTGCTGCGTTGGAATCACTTTTGGTCGATGGTGGTGACTTCCAGAGCCTGATTTCATGACCTGGTGTCTGTGACCAAGCTGTTCTTCGGTAGTCGAGTGCAGGAAACAAAAGGCTGTGAGATTTTGAGTGTGCTACCACTTACTGTGTTTATAATCTGTACTTCAAAGGATGTAGATTTTTAATCAATAAGCATAACTTTTTCCAAGGCCTGTATTCTTCTTTTTTTTTATTTGCCCCCATACCTAGAAATGCTGTTGCATGTTTAAGTATTGCTTAAGCTACTCAATGTGTAACTACATTGAAATGCATATATGAATTTATAAAGGCCATACATTATGGATACTGATTCTGTTTCTTTGTGCTATGGAGTGCACCTCAGAAGGATTAAATTATTAAATTATGCACATTTACATTAGTGATGAACTGTGCCTGGAACCATCCTAATGTCTCAGATGTGCCCTATAGACTTGGCTTAAAAGGGAAAAATACTGATTATTGCCTGGATCATATCTTCCCATCAGAAGAAATTTGCATAATGAACAAAGATCAGCACATAATTCCCTGACCTTGAATCTTTTACAGTTGTGCCTTTTATGCTGCTAGGGAAGTTATTCCAGGAGGAAAGCAAAAGGAAATGTAAAGCAACAATAGAGGCCACATTCCCCTTTAAGTCTGTAGAAACTGAGTGGAATACACTACAAATGAAAACCTCCCAAGTCTTTCCTTCTATTCTCATTGTACCCATTACATTTTTTCCCAAGGCTGGCCCATTCTGGAACATATTAAAGTCCCCGAGAATGACTTTTCCCATAAATTGTCAGGCAATTCAGAATGAGCAGAGTATGTATAGGACTTATGGTAGGTTAAAAGCAAGAGTAAAACTCTCCCAAGAGCTTTTCTCACTCCCTGGGACCTGTGCTGAGATCATTACATATACAGTGTTCAACTGCAGTGTGATATTTGTGGAAAAACATGAACATGATTTACTGACTTGCCCCATATATTCACAAATGGTACCATTTAGAAAAACTCTAATAAATAAGGCAATGAAGGCATTTGTATGGCATTTCGCTTTTTCTGTGGCAGCTTTTTCACATTAACAAAGATGCAATGGCAAAATAGTTCAGACTCATTTTTTGCTAAACAAGTTTCAAAGCCAGGAGTGTCTTTTACCATGTGTATTTTCAAAACGTTTAGGCTACTTAATATCTGTCATTTTCAAGCTACTTTGCTTTGAATACACCCCATCAAAAGAAAAAAACAAAAAACCAAAAAGACACAAAAACTCAACCAAAAAACATCACAAAACTCAAGTTCAGACAAAACCAAAAACCAGTAGTGGTAAAACTAGTGTTCTTTTTTTTTTTTTTTCTATTGGTTGTTTTCAATAGTCAACAGAGACACATACTGACTATACTACAACTCAAGAACAAAACCAAAAATTTGGATACAACTGGTATCAAGAATAAACAATTAAGTAAAGCAAACTTCAAAGGAGCTGGATTTAGGTAATTAGAAATAGTGACTCTGCTTTGTAGCCAACTCTTTTGCTCAAAATGACTCTGAATTATATTGGCATTCCACCTTACCTAATAATTGCATAATGCTGTTTAAAGAGTGATCACTAAAACGGAGCCACTTCCAGAACAACTGTTAATTGTGAAAGTAACTATTAAGAGTCACCATTTGCATTTTTATTTGTAGAGACACTGACCATCTGGTAACAAATTGCATTATATTATTACGTTTTCAAATATACTTCAGAACTATGAATAGCTGAAAAGAAAGGTTTATAGGCTATCTGCAAGAAAAAGATACCATAACAGAGAAATAAGTTTTGAGTCATGGGAAAGTGACCTCACTGTCACATCAATTTCTTAATGCAAGAAATCATGGGTCGTTGTGGTGTGCTGGGATGGCATTCTGTGCTGATACCTAGATCAGCCATCTGAATGATCTTGAAAATGCTAGTAGTGCTATTTTCCTCGAGTACAGGCCAAGTGCTAACAGATGGAAGTGAAGAGTAGAACAGTCGGCTGGACTGCAACAAAATAATTGCCAGTGTCAAATAGCATAATAATTCAGAAGTTCATACATGAATGAGGTGCTGCTGTCAAATATGAGACATTAATCAACATTCACAAAAAGAGCCAGGTATTTAGGAAGGATCTGGATTGAGATAATCAGGTTCCAGTGGTGGTGAACTCTTCAAACTTCTGTCTAACTCCTCAAGTAACACCACTACATAGATTCCTAAGTTTAAAGTAGAGGTTTTATTTAAGAGGCATCACAACTTTGGGTGAGAATTCTTGACCACTTGGAAGTCTTTCCATATTGGCAGGGCTTGGTGCTTATTTCATTACTCTACCTTACTATAGATGGAAAGATAGAATTTTCTGAATCTAAATCTGCTCGAATACCTAATTCACTGTTAATTTTCAAAACACTCATGCGCAATTCCTTCTTTTACAACAGACAAATGAAGAAATATTAGAAAATAGTGCAGAGGTGATGATGAGCCAGTTTAAAGCATTAGTCTGTTGTCAGAAGAACTCACCTTTCACAAAAAAAACATGGGTGAAATGGACTTTTTTCCTTTAAGGATGATAACCACAATCTCTCAACTCAAATGATCTGGTCTCTTGTCTGTTTCAGCAAACAGGATCCTTTTGTTTCAAACAAAAAGGGAAATCCTGTGAAATCATGTCACCTTTCAATAATGTAATCACAGACAGAAACTTGAACACATAAATGAATTGTATTAGAGGGAAGAAGTTAGACCCTCTGCCACCCACGAGTAGCTCACATGTTTTATAATAAATAGGTACTGGAACAAAATATATACCACATTCTCAGAGGAAAGAACATTTCTCCAAATTGTGTCTCTTGCTTCACTATGACACTTTTTTTTGCAATATCCAGGTCCTTTCCTCTTGGTATAACCCCACCTGACAGAAAAAATTACAAACTCCACATTGTGAGACCACTAGGTTTGGAGGGACAAATCTGATGTTACTGATGAATGTGTGACAAATAAAGGGGGTGAAGGATAAAGTATATAAGTAATTGATATCAAAGTTTCTGTCTTTTGGGCACCAAGTGGTTTCAGGGAAAATGGAGAGTAGAGTACATGAAAAAGAGCGTGTGGTGACACTCCTTATTTTTGTAATATACCGCTATTTTATTTAAGATTTTTTTTTTTGCATTTAGGAATGTTAACTAGATATAAGCAATAGCAACAAAACACAAAAAGGCAGGAAAGAATATCCTGGTTTTATTAACACTGAAAATTACCATGTGCAAACAAAGTACAAAAGGCGGTGACATGTTTTTCCATATTGCAAATACTCTTGTTAGTGCAGTTCTCCATCACTGTATGACTGAAGAGCTGAAAATTGTCTGATATCACTGTCAGCAGAGAGGAGGATGGAGCAGCTGCCAAAAGCTGTGGTGCTGCACTCCTCCTCTGTCCCAGCTGTGTGCTCCTGCCAGCCCCTTTGTGACAAAGCAGTAGGCAGTCTCTTTGCTACAGAATTGGTGCTGCAGACTCAACGGGATAGCAGATTTAGGCCAGCTTAAGTGGACGCTAAACTGCCCCTTAGAAATGTCAGCTGCATACGGGGGTAATTTTAAATCCATTTGTGAGTACCTCAGATGGCGCCTATGAAGCAAATGGGACCATTTGTACTTTATTAGCATTTTAATCAAACAATCTTCAGTGGAAGTGGTTTAAAAGCATCAGTGATGACGCTGTGTACAGCGGTGGCATCTCGAGAAGGTTCTCAGCAGTAGGTCAGAGCAGCACAAAGCCAAATTCTTAAGGTATCAAATTCATTGGAATAATATCTGTGGAGATCTACATCAAAGCAAATATTTCACTATGAAAACTCATCAGCAGGCAGAGAAAGAAGATTAATGCTACAAATGTTGTATTTGTGGAAACATTTAAGTATTCAAGGCCTGCTGATTGTGTTTTTCAACCTGCTAGATATTGACATATTAAGCACAGTATGTAGGTAAGTTAATCATAACACAAAACCCAAAAGAGTGGAAGAGGAAAGAACCTCCTTTTCATTGACATGGTGGCTTGACAATCTATTAAGTTCCTGACATTTAACTCTCCACTGCCAAACAAAACCCAAGAGAACAAACCAATATAAAAACACGAAGTTTACCAGGTAAGTAAATTTTGAACATCAGTGTGGTACATTCACCAGACATATGCATGATCAAATGTATGCTACAATCTGGATCAGAGAAACATTTAACATTAGAATCTTCTGAGGTAGATAAGGTCTATATAATATTGCTGTAAATAGGGTTCTAGCCTTGGACTGCAGGTAGAGGTCACATGTGAAGAATCAATACATGGAGGCATAACTCTCTGTTGATTTTGGTATTAAAGTAACAAGTACTGGTAACAAATCCCATTTTTTTTCATTCATTTTAGCAGAGATATCTCAGCTGTAGTTTTGCAATCCTAATATAAGCCCCGTTGATGATGTGCATGCCTTTCCACTGAATTTATAAGCTCTGTATTTGGGCCTGAATCCCAGTACCCCATCACTGTGGCTCCTTTCCCCAGCAGTTATTAATACAGTTCTTACTCACAAGCAACCATAAATTAGAATTAGCCCAAATACATTTTTAAATATATTGTCCAGCTCATGAGGAATGTATATGAAAAATGTTCTTACTGGACAAGCAGAACCTACAAAGGCAGCAATTAAATCATAAGACTGAAAACAAAAACTCTTATGATCTACACCATTGTCTCCAAATTATATGATTAAGGAGATATTAAATTATACATTATAGTTAACAGGTACAACTACAAATCTTAACTAAGCATATTTTTTTGTAGTTCTATTCATTATACTAATGTACAGGCTTATATTTAGCAGCTTTTGAAGCATTAGAAAACAGGAAAGCTACAGATTACAACCCATATGGGTATGCTCAGGTTGGCAGCAGTGATTAATAGTGTCTCCTGGGTTTGCTTTTTATAACTTAAACAATATTTAAGACAGATATTAAGATGATTTACGTCACAAAGAATTTAAACACTGTATTTACTTGAACAAAGCATAGTATATTATAAGGAATGTCAGACAAAGTAGCATGTATTAGTTCAGTCATTATCACAGGGAAACAGGCAAGATCTCAGGTTAAAATGGGATATCTCAGTGTGCAGCACAGCACCCTGAATTCAAATTTTACTTAACCTATTCTGCCTAAATACCCTAAGTGATTTCATGTCAATAAAAGCCACATTCATCCACTTCAATGGGATATCTTACTTTACACAGGCCTATGAGATTTAATAAAATTACTATGAAGTACTATTTAAAAGAAAAATGTGTTTCTACAAGAATTTTAACATTGTTGAGGCAATCTGCCACTCTTGTCATACCTGACTGACTGTTCCCATCTCTCCCTTTTCCAAGGATTAGGTATCTATGATGAACCAGGTAAGGGGACTGGTTTTGCAAAAGTTTTACCTGTCAAAATAACTACTAGTTTTCAACTAGAAAATCTCCCTCAGTTTAGTTCACCTGGCATGGAAAATAACATATCTGAAGGTAGACAGTAGTAAAGAACACATCTTTGGAGACTACTTTAAGGTAAACAATTTTGTAACTTGGTTGAATCCTTCCACTCCTAATTCTGATGTTTTGCTCTGTAGGAGGAGAGGTCTAGAATGCTAAATATTTTTAATCATCCAAGGGAACATGAAAAATTTGAGGGTCAGACGTGTAAAAATGTTGAAAATACATACTGTCAAACTTTTGAAGAAAGAGCTCATTGTTGCAAATACTTTTCTATGTTGTTGCAAAAGTTACATTCTCAGGTTCTTAGAGTCACCAGTCAATTTTGACATTTGTTTTTTCTAAATGTTAAGTAGATTGTACCTGGGCTTCTTTGAGTCATGTCAGGAAAGCAATGCAGAAATATTAACATCATAACAATATGCCAGTAGATCTACCAGTGACTTAGGCTGGGTTATAGACAGCACAGTGACTCACACAACACAGAACACAGGGTTTGCGTTAAATT